ATTGGCTGGTTTGTTCCCTTCCTTTAATAGCTAAAGAACTATAAGCTCAGCAAGGTTGGATGACTTGCTGAAAAGCTTCACAACTTGTCATTGCCTGACAAACTGTAGCAGAATAGAACTGGAACCTGGAACCTGGAGAGATTGATTGGTGTCACCAGCTTGGGTGTGGGGACAGTTCAGTGTGACAGGCTGAAAGAAATCACTGAAAGGAATAGCAAGTCAGGAAAAGCATTAAGTTTAGGTCAGATGGACAGTGAAGAAAAGGCACCAATCGAAACATAACTAATACTTTAAAAACTCCATACAGATGATTAGTCAGAGGGAAGAAGGATTGGGTTGCTTGTCCACAGTGAGAACTGAGGGCAGGATCTCATCTGAGGGACTAGGGTTGCGTGCGTGTGGCAGGTGGGATGGGGGAGTCTGACTGTCACTAAAACAGAGATTCTGGCCCAGAAGAGTGAAGTCAAAGAGACAAGGATTAGAACTGACACCTGAAGACCTTAAAAGGAAACAGGGTTGGTGCCAGCATCGTAATGCAGCAGGTTAAGCTACCACCTGCAACGCTGGCATCCCATATGAACACCGGGTCAAGTCCTGGCTGCTCCACTTCCCATCTACCTCGCTGCTAATGTGCCTGGGAAAGCAGCAGAAGATAGCTCAAGTTATCTGGACTCCTACCACCCAAGTGGGAGACCCAGATGTTGGAGCCATTTGGGAATGAACCAGTGGTTGGAGGACCTCAGTTTCATTGTCTCTCCCTTTTTCTCTCTCTAATTCTGCCTTTCAAATGATTTTAAAAATCTTTAAAAAAGAAGAGAAGAAGCAGGGTGTTTCATTCTTGGGATTGGAACTGTGAATAGGTGGAGATGTGACTTTGGTCGCGATGGTAAGAGCACCTTCACCCAGATGTTTTCCCAGCAAGTTACTCAACTTCTGTGCCCCATCCTGCTCTAATCACTTCATCCAAGATGGATTTGCTAATTAACAAACTGGTCTAAGTCTGAAATTTTTCAGGCTTTTGCCAAAGAAAACACTGAAAGCACTAAGAAACCCAAATGAAACTGTGTAATTTATGCTTTCTGCATTACAGAAAACAGAATGCATGACTTCCATATGAGTGGAAAAATGCAAGCCAGAGACCCGCAGAGCCCCTGCTGCCAGTGTGTGTTCCCAGGGAGAGTGGTAGTGGAGGGAGTGGAGATGTCACATGCAGGATGAGAATGTCAGATGCCACGTGGTCTGCACTGAACACAGGTGGAAGCACTGCAGTTCCAGGCTTGCTGTTGAGTTGGGCTTGACAGTTTCAGAAAGGCAATGTGTAGAGGAGGAGGTGAAGGGGAAGGAGAGCTGTTGTCGTAGAGGAGAAATGTCCAAATTCCATAGAAATGCAAGAAAATGTACGATCCACTCTAGTTACCTCTCTTTAAAGAGGCTGAGGCAAAGATAGTGTGGAGAGTAGGAGAAGCCAATGTGAACCTGATATGTCCTGGTGACTTAGAAGAAGTACAATTAAAAAGTAATTCAGAAACAGGGAAAGAAGAAAAGGTGGTGTTTGCATGTGTATCAGGAAGGTGGCAAAGGATATGATTTTAACTAGATAGTGACAGTAAATAAGATGACAAAGGAGATACCGCACACAGCTACAGCATCTTCAAGGGTTGCACAGCAATAAGGTAGGAGAGGGAAGGATCCTTCCCTGAATGTTTACCTCTTAGTATAGTTTTGACTTGTGGAATCATGTGAATATTTTACACATTCGAAAATGAAAGCAAGAAGAGGGGAATTAAATTTGAATACTCTTAAAAGCAAATGAGCATAATTGAGTTTCAAGTGAACAGTGTAACTACCCTGAAGGGGGCAGAGGAACTAGTCTCGTAGCATTTGAGCAAGGTGTTTTCACTTTATGTCTTCATTCTAAATTAGCAGCAAATCCTAAACAGTTCTTAATACTGGCTTTTTTGTAGCATAACAATTTTGTACATATTGGTAGTAATGATCAAAATAGTAAAGACAATGATATGGAGAGCCTACGTTCTCATTGTACCAAAAGGAACCAATAATTATGAAAAGGGGAGGGAAGACTTCGGTGGGGCTTGGTGTGTATGTGTGTGGATGGGACTGGTGGAGGGGGAGATTTGCATGCCTATGAGAGAAATCCTTCCACTGAACAGGGATTAGAAACTGTGACTCCCCTGTTACAACTGGTGCATGTTGACACCCAGATTTTAGTCTCCAAATATCATTCCCCAAGTAAAAAGTAGTATCTTGGAGAAATGATGAATTCCAAGGATAGAGAAAGGAAAGAAGCAAAATGGGCCTGGAACAGCTCCCTAAACCAAAAAAGGAAAGTGTTTAAAAATTGATGGCTACTTGTCAGAAGGATACAGACACCAATTTAAGCGGTTCACCTGTGCTCGCGTCGGCAGCACTTACACTAAACGGGTTCACCTGAGGAAAGCTGGAGCAATTTGCGTGTCAAAATTAGTAGTCATAGTAATGACTCATAACCCTTTGCATGGTATAGGAATCTATATATACTAATAAAATATACACCCATAAATGTAGTCTGTCTGTCTTTATCCATGACTTTGTTTCCACAATTTCCTCCAGTAAGCTGTGATGAAAAAATGCTACATAGAAAATTCCAGAAATAACTTATCAGTTACAGGCAACTCTGGATATCATGATGAAATTGCCACTGTTCTGCTCCGTGAGACCTGGCGTAAGAACCATCCATGCTGCATGCACTACCACGAGTCACTTAGTTGTCTCAGTTACCAGACCAGTTGTTGCAGTGCTTGTATTTGAGTAATCCTTACTTTGAGTAATTGTTGTCCCTAATCATGATGATGCTGCTGGCAATTTTGTTTTAGAATATTGTCATGTCTATTTCTTACTAATCTCTTAAGCCTAATTCATAAATTAAACTTTAGCACAGGTATGAACATATGTAATACAGTTTAGTGTGCCTCAGTGAGGGAGGCAGATTCCATGAAATGTATCATTAGGTGATTTCATCAATGTGAACATCATAGAGTGTGCTTACACTAACTATGATGGCTATGACAAATCCATCATTAATTGAAACATCCTTATATGGGATGTGACCATATGTAGCATTTGGTGCTATCCTTAGGTTTACGTGCCTACTGTTGGTCTTGGAAAGTATCCCTCACAGGTAATGGGGGTGGAGGTGGCGGCTGCTGTAGATAGAATAGTTGAGTTAGTTAGAAACCAAGGTAACAGTTGAGGCAAGAATCACTGATGGTTACCACAATAGGTAGGTGAAAGTTTGACGAGCAATATGATATTTTAATAGTCACAAAGTATCTTCCCCCAAATTGCTTACTATAAAAGAAAAAAATACTAATTTTGACAGTAGAGTGGTTTGACAGACCCCGCCTTAACAAAGTGGTGACACAGTATGTTCAGCAGTGGGATGCATGGACATCATGTGACTGTTGTGAGCCAATGAGAAAGTCTCAAGCATTACTTCTGTGCTAATGCCACCAAATGTGCATGAGGAGGAGTGAGACCAACCCAAATGAAGAGACATTCTACAAAATACATGGTCTTAGGAAAATAAAAAGGGAGAAAGAGGGAAACAGAATGGGAAAAAGAAAAATCAATGCCAAAAGGACCTGTTGTAGACTAAAGAATCATGGACAGGTGATAGTAACAGCTGAATGAAGTGGATGATCATGGATAAGAGTTGCTAACTGGGAAACGTTGTCTATGAAGTACATCATTGAGACTTGATGAAATCAGAATAAGAACTATCAGATCGTCATACTATATCAATGTTGTACTTATGTTTACTGAAATGGCTGTACTGTGTTTGTATTCAATAACATCTTTGTTGTTTGGAAACACAAGTGGAAGAATTTAATTATAAAGGACATCCTGTCTTTAACTCCCTTTCAAGTTGCAAATCAAAAAAAGAAAAATGAAAAGTGAATGATAACAGCAGATGTGACAAAATGTTAGTATTTATGAATCTGAGAAAAGCACACGAAGGCCTTCCTTATGCTGTTTACGCAGATTATCAATTCCATATAATTTCCAAATAAATGGGAAGGAAGTATGGAAGAAGAATCTTGACCTGGGTACCACTTAAAAAGCATAGCATTCTTTGTAAATACTGGCTTACAGCATAGTACTTCACCCCTAACTCCCCAGTGTCAAGGAGGGTTTTAGTGAACGGTGAGTAGAGCCAAGTTTGCTTGTGGGGTTGCAGCCCTGGGCTGGGTTAAATTGCACAGTTCAGGATTCAGGCAGGAAGCCAGGTCGCTGGATGCAGAGGGCAGTGTTTCTACCATTTCATACTTCTTCTGAAACCTAACGTGCTTATGTTAATGACTTTTTATCCCCTTAGCATTCCATAGCCATCTAGTAACCATATTCATCACTCACATACGCTACCTGGCTCTGAAGGGCAGGACGGCAGTGATTAAAAAAGAGGTGGGGAAAGGGATACTTAAGACTAGTTCAACTCTCCCATTTCTCATTCTCTTGTTAGGTTCAAAAGTTATTGATTAACAATGAAAATGACATGCTTAGATTGCATTTGGAATTATACTTTCATGACTTTACCTGGGATTCTTTTCCATGACCTGAACAAATAGTAGACTGTGTGACCGTGACAGGTCTTAATGAAGCGGATTGAGGCATCTCTTACATTTACATTTTCATAGAATGAAATAAACATAGTAATCTTTCTACAGAACACTCTCACGTCAAGCTATGATTTGCTTTTCTACTTGTCCAGAATAGCAAGTTTTGCATTTCTTTAAATTGTAATGTATCTTTGTGAGCCAATTGATAAGACAGAAGTCATCTCTGACATATCTATAATGGTACTTAGAGCCAACTTGTCAAAAGTACTTCTAAAAGATTGCTATGGATCCTGAGGAGATATATTTAGTAACGATTTTGAGTAAGATGTCACATAACACAACATTTCATTGATTTATTGGTGTTATTTTTGTATCTTACTGCAGGCAGAAAATTCAGCATTGGCTTTGGAAAATGAAAATCAAAGGGAACAATATGAGCGATGTCTTGATGAGGTAAGGTGGATGGAGAGGCTCGTGATAAGAGGGTGGACCAGTCAGGAGTCCCTTAATCAGATCTTAGTGCATGCATAATTCCAGCATCCTCAGAACATTAACATTTTCTCTTGCAGTGGAAAGTTATAAACATATGACCGTTGAGAAAGAAAGTCAGTCACTGTGTATGTGCGTCTGTCTATCTGCTACCATCCCTCCTCTTCTCCCTAACTCATTATACAGCATCTATAAATACCTTTTGGTTACTGTTTTATATTCTTGGAACACAGTTGGGGTATGCTTGACTGTATGATAAATTAGTCCTGTCCCATAAACCGAATCTCCACCCGTGCATGGAAGAAATCATGTGGGGAGCACTGCATCTCTAGTTGGATGCCACGTCTGAAAAGGCAAATCCTTGATAGAGTGGGTGGGGACAGGGCTCACAGATGGCAGCCAGAGGAAGCAAATCAGGAGGTGGAGCACAAGCCAAGAAGAGAAAAGGAAGTAAGGAAGAAAATTTGAGCAGGATGGAAAAAAGAGCCACAGGCATGAGCCAACTCAGTAAGTGTTGTTTGCTGCTAATGAAGAGATGAGAGCAAGGATGGTTGGTGTTTGAGGGTTTCCAGGAGGCCAGGGAAAACTGAAGTGTGTGCAGAGTCCTAGTCCTTCCTCCTGCTGTTCCTGTGGTACTGTAAGAAATCATGTCACCAACACTCCATCCCCTATCTTCCTGCCGGAACTCTAGCCCAGGTCTCCTCTGGGACTTGCCATCATTCGAATGACATAACTTCTCTTGTCATCTGCCTCAGACCCTAAAACTTGCACATATGAGTATTCCAGGAGATTCACTCTGAGATTTGTCACAGTGTAACTGATACAAGATTTTAGGAAAAGAGCCACTGCATTTAATTCAGTTCCTTTGCTTTACCAGTAGGAATTACCAATATATCCTCAGTCTTTATTTCTCTACTGACAATGACAAAGACGTTTTACAACAAAGTCCTCTTGATACTTCTTACTTTTTCCATTCCTCTCTTATCCTGTATACATCCCCGGGCGTTGATGGCTTGGGGTGCCAAGAACACAGGCTCAAGTCCCAGCCTTGCCATCATATACTTTTCTCTTCCCTTGGAAATGGGAGTGGCCTTCCTCCAGTGAGTCCTGGCACTACTTGGTGTTTTCCTGCACTAATGCTTCTTCGGTGGAATCCTGGACCAACAGCAGCAGCCTTCCCTGTGACCTGTGACCTGATTAGGGATACAAATTCTAAGGCCTTGCCTCTGGCCAACAGAATTGAAGCCCTTGGGGTAGGCCCAGCAAGAAGATTTGAATTTTGGTTTGAAGAACTCTCAAAAATAGTTCCAGAGAAAATGATTAATATTTGATAATGTCTAATTGCTTAACATCCCCAATCATATATGTAAGTTCCTCAAGCAAAAGAGTGTGAACAGTCCTCTGCCCTGTCAGGGTTTACAAAGGCCAGTATAATCTTCACAATGTACAAAGTTAAAAGAATCACCACAGCAGTGGACTTAAGAAGGAGCAAAATGACTCGGGGTCTAGCCACCTTCACTCCTGCTCTTGGCTTTTTGGTCCAATCAAAGTAAAGGGCAAAAAGGACCTGCTAGAACTAAGAGCATCTAAAGAAACAAATAATGCCCCTGGGTCATATGTATTGATCTGCAGGGTTTCACTTTAACCTCAAGCACAGAAATTTCCAGTGAGACTGTATCTGTATTCAGAAGTCAAACTGATGTCAGTCACACCACAGAAACTCCTTCTTTGTTACAATACTCCCATAGTACATGCCTCCCTATCAGTCATAATGTTCACTTTTTATGGCATTTTTGGTACCATCTGATAATTTATTTTTTATGTTAATGTGTTATTAATACAAAGAAAATAGATCGAATGTACTTCACAAATGAAATTCTAAGAACATAATGATATTCCTTTGTGCCTCCCCTCTCTCTTTTTTAGTTTGTGAGATAACATTTTTAATTTACATTACAGTTGAGGGCCTAATACTCCACCAAATAAAGCAAGCGTTCAACAAGTGAAAAGTAAGAGGACCCTAGTTCAGCGGGAATATAGGCAAGGGCCATAAACAATAATCAAATGAAAATATGACCATTGCTTTTATGTGTGTTCCCTATGCCTGTATTCTGTAGATGTCATGAGAATGTGCCAGGAAACACATTAAGTTGTTATAAATAAGTCTTTTCCTATAAAATTTCCACTGAAAGACTGAATTTCTGTTCTTAATTTCAAGAATTAACTGTTGCCAAAGAGGTTATTTGTAACACAGGACCACCTCTGAGCAATACGAGCATTTTGAATTCATGAACACTGGCCCCTGATTTCACATGCCAGTGTTTTATAACTAATTGCATGAGAATAGACAATCTGTTTCCGTGAAATTTAAGAGAATGCTCTCAAAGGGGTGGTTGGATGTAGTAATACTGCCAACTAGAAATTCTTTTCAAGGCGTTTTATACTAATTAGACAAACTAACAAGGTAAGGACTCATGTAAGTTATTTCCTGCTAGTGAGTTTCAGAAGACACACATGGGTGAATGAACTATAAATTTAAAATATTCCTCCATCATTTTTGCATTGATTGTTGTTTACTGGGGAAATGAAGAACATTTTGAAGCTTTGAGAAAAGAGCGTGGGCGTCTGAAATGCCCTCTGTGTGTTTGGTAGAAGAGCGGTTTGTTCAGAAGGAGCCAGAGCCACATCTGTAGATAGGCACGTACACACACACACGCACACACACACACACATGCTGGCTTTCCAGTTATGCACAAACAAGCACACACACAGAGTGCATGCCTGCACATACTTCAACATCACCTCCATTGTCATCTCTCTCCTCTTCTCCTTGCCTTCCAGAATGAAAGAGAAACCAAGGATTAATCTTGTTTTTCTTTGGAAGTCGGGAGGTTGTCATGTTTAAATCCACTTTTTTATTCCAGCCATTTGGCAGGCAGTTTCCCGGCAAGCAATGAATTGCTGTTCATTCACAGTATTGCCTTGGCCACATTTTCTTTCAGATGACTATTCCCATGTTGAGAAGTAGAATGACATGTATAAAACAAGGAAAAGAACATCTTCCTGAAACATGACATTGTATTTAGATGGAGTTAGTTGTGCCCTACAACCTCACCTAGGCCCGGAGAGTTCACCATTCTCCCAGCCTAGCTGACATAATAGGGATGGTTGATCCCAGGTAACCAGGTGAGAGAAACTCATGAGAAGAATTGCCCTTGGGACTTCAGGGACATGCAGTGGAGTCACCAAGGGCAGGAGAAGCGGTAGATGGGTGAGCAACGAAGGGATCAGAACTGCAAAGAGCATCTTCAGCAGAAGGAACTTGATTTTGAGTTTTGAGATTGGGAAAGGTGAGGTGGGTTCATCATGACCAGTACACTGGACTTAGCTAGGGAGGTTTAAAAAAAATACTGCAGGCTAGCCTCACCTGAGAGATTCTGATCTGATTCTGAACTGGGGTGGAGCCTGGGCCTTAGAATCTTTCAAAGCATGCCAAAAAATATAGTAGTCTGGCGAGATTTGGAGCCACTCCAGTGAGTTTATTTGAGTGCTGTGTTTCAGAGAATTTTGAGAAAGCATCAGGAGGATGAAAGCTCCTTCCACATCTATGAATATAGTGGCAGAAAGGGTGGACCAATATGGGAGTTCTAATTCTTCAATGATGTCTGAGTTAATACAAAGCTACAGGCAAAAAGTAAATCCTATCCCAGTATTTTTTGAAATGTGATTTTGGGATCCCTCTGCATCTGAAAGATGTGTGGCAATTGCTAAAAATGCATAGGCCTCAGGGCCGGCGCTGTGGCTCACTTGGCTAATCCTATGCCCAAGGCACTGGCATCCCATATGGGTACCGGGTTCTAGTCCTGGCTGCTCTTCTTCCAGTCCAGCTCTCTGCTGCGGCCCGGGAAGGCAGTGGAGGATGGCCCAAGTGCTTTGGCGCCTGCATGCACGTGGGAGACCAGGAGGAAGCACCTGGCTCCTGGCTTCGGATTGGCATAGCTCCAGCCGTAGCCGCCACTTGGGGGGTGAACCAACGGAAGGAAAACCTTTCTGTCTCTCTCTCTCTCACTGTCTAACTCTGTCAAATAAAAAAAAAAAAATCCATAGGCCTGACTCAGTTCTTCCCAATTAATCAGTATGCAGGAAGAATAAATTGGAAATTTTCACAATTTTCCAGCACATGGAGGTGGAGAAGCTGCCTGTCTTCCAGACCATCAGAGCTGGGCCTTCGAGTCAGCAAGGATGCTGTAGTTGAGATCTTCTCTGACTCTGCATGTCTCAGTACAAGGGCACAGAGAATCTTGACCTTTGGCTGTGGTTCAGGAATAGGGTGAAAAACACCCACCAGAATTTTAGACCAAGGCTAAGCACAACAGTTGGCTGTTAAGAGCTGTTGTCAAATCTGCCTTGCTGATCTGTCTGCTGCAGACCAAGGCTGGATGATAGCATCATTACTAGCTCATGCGTATCCCACACAGGAACCCTATGTAATGTTTGAAATCAATGTCTCCATAGATGGAGATGGAAAATGATATTGCTGATGGCTTGCACATGCTGAAGAGGTCCACTTCATGCATGGGTCAAGAAGTTAACAAATGATCTTTCTGATCCACCTGAGATTCTAACCTGGGTCATAAAATTAACAGATAATCTACTCCTTCTTGTCTTCTCTAGATTCTGACAGTCTTAAGGCATTGCCTATATTCCATTCCACATTATTTCTCTAGGGCCCAGCTTGATTTTCATCCATACTAGGCACTTAATGCACATTTGTTAAATGAAGAAATGAATGAATGGAGATTAACAGCAGGAAATTAATTTCCAAATTAGTTTCCTTGTAAATCCCACATACATATTTAGACTAATTTCTTTAGTTGTCTCCTCAGAGACCAACCAAAAGGATAGTTTAGAGAATCAGCTAAAAAGTGGTGGTAGATTAATTTAAAAGACTTCTGAGTTAGGCAAAACCACATGAGCTTTACAGTGGAAGCCTGGTCTGAGGTTCAAACACTGCCCCAGCCTACCTCTTCCTGTGGAATAGGGAGCAGTGTATTTACTTCTCAGCTTTCTTACCTTCTCATTTGTGTCTTACAGGATTGTTTTACAAAGTAAATGAATAATATCCATGCTCAGTGACTTATGTTTGTTCAGGGATATTGGATACACATACGCAAACACCTCTTATTCCTTGTATAAGTAAAATTCCTTATTCTAAAACTATTCTTTCTTAATGGCTTACTTGATAACTTCAGAAGTTCCACTGGCTCATTTGATATTTAATATTTCTGGGGTGACTATTTTATATTAGGTCCTGTCCTAGGTGGTTTCTCTGATTGTCTATCAACTCATGTCTTGTTCACCACTTGGGAGGCAGACAGTTTCCTTCCCTACTTTATGTGTGAGTAAAGTCCATTTGCTCCCACATCCCAGCATCTGTTGGTGTATCAAGTCAACACAGTCAGTTTTTAAATCTTTCTTGTAACTCTGGCCCAGTGTTGTTCCTGCTTTTCCCCAGCTGTCTTAGTGCAATAAACCAAGCTCAGAAGCATAGGAAACTTCCCCAAAGCACATGATCAAAAACACATGCTTTTTCCACCAGGTTACCTGTTTGATGTGACAAGTGCTTTTCATGATGAAACAGCAGGTGCAGGTGTGAAAGCAAGACTATGAGGAGAAAAATGTCTTCAAAGAAAAGTCTCTTGAGTTTCTCCCTCCCTGGCCATCCATCATAGCCCTGGCTGTCTTCTCAGCCTGGCAAGAATTGGTGCCACACCCAAATCATCTCCTTGCTCTGGCCTCTCTTTTAGTCTTAGGGACCCACAATCCCAGCTTCTCCTCTGGCTGTGCATACCCCCTTATGGGGGAAGAAGAGCAAAGTCTCTTCTAGGGGGAGTCAGCCATGTATCAGAGGAGTTGGCTTCTCTGAAAGAAATCTTCCTGACAAGGAAATGAGCTGTACTAGGCTCTGCTCCATGTCCTGGGGAGAGGTCCTTACAGAAGCCAAGGAAGGGTACAAAAGAAGCCAGGGGCTTAAGGACTGTCAGCTTGTGATATGTGCCTCAAATCCCTTTGGCCCAGCCCAGCTGCTGCTTTTCCTTTGATTAGAAAGGAAAGCTGGCAGGTGACACTGGAAAGTAGACGTTATTTGTTCTCATTAGCTGGGCCTGCCCAGTGTGTGATTATTTGCAGCCTAAATGCTTAGGACATAATGCTAGTTTGAGGACAGTGGACATTCCAAGCATCATCCTGTGAGCCTATTAGAGGTTGCAGGCACAAGCTTGAAATAGTTGTTATAGTGTTGCATCTGGGAAGCTTAACTGTTAAAAGTATGCAGGAACAAAGCCTAGGAAACTGTCTTTATCAACACTGCAGAGGCAAGCATTCGTGCAACCTGCCTGCTCTTCTGCAAAGGACCTGTGCATCCTTCTGGGTAATACGACCGCATGTCAGTAGGTAAAGAAATAATGCTTCTGTGGACCTTTGTTCAATTTTCAGGTAGCAAACAATTGTCCAAAGTACATGCCAGAAGGATCTATATCAGATAGAGGGTCTGTAAGCCTATAGGGCAACTGCTTGGATTGCAAAGATATAACATATTTCCTCCTGTGGGCTGTTACAGTTAGGATATTACTCTATGTCTCCTGTTAAATCATGGATAGAGCTGTTTTATGTGACCACTGTTACACAGAATGGTGTAAGTGAGGGACCAGTTTGGAGGAAGAAAAGAAAATATTGATATTGGGCAGTTTTATGAAAACGTAAATCAAAACTAAAGTTAGAGTTCCAAAAAAGGGAATTTTTTTATAGTTTGAATTAACGTTGGTGCATTGTTCCTGATTCAACTTGCATGAATAGTTCAGTTCTTATGTTTTGCTATATTTGCTAACAATAAAATAGGTGATATATTGTTTGACTTTAAATTCCCAGTTACTTAGGAATTTCAATGAATGTTTCAGAACTTAAAGATCTTTATAGTTATGAGTGAATCTGAGAAGGGTAAAAAAATTAATCACTGCTATAATCACATGCAAATAGAGGAAAAATAAAACACCAGTTCATGAAAGCTTGGCTTATCTTAGGCTATGGTAATTCTGTTTGTGGTTGAGGGGTGCAAAGAATCTTCCATCTGGTTTACTCGCCAAATGCCCACAACATCTGGTTCTGAGCCAGGCTGAAACTAGAAGCCAGGAACACAGTTCTGGTCTCCTGAGTGACAGAGATCCAAGTACCTGAGCCATCACCTGCTGCCTCTCAAGGTGTGCGTTAGCAAAAAGCTGGAGTTGGGAGCAGAGCCAGGACTCAAACCCAGGCTTTCTGATACAGGGTGTAGGTATCCCAAGTGGTGTCTTCATTGCTCTACCAAAGATCTGTTCCTCTGTGGTAGTTCTTTAACTCTGGCTTTATGCAAAACACCTATGAATACTTTTTCTTTAAAACCATACTTTCAATAAAAGATTTCTCTGTTTAACCACTGTAAATTTGGAAAGGCTTTATGATGGGAGAAAAAAGCCTGCTTGTGCATAGAGTTTAATAAATTACTAATAATCTGATTCTAGTCATTTGCTATCCCTGTTGTGAATGCCCCTTAACCAAAAGTTGATGACAGCCTGTGCTGTAATTCTCTGTGAGCCTTAGTGGTAGCCAACTGTCATTAAGGATGTGCTGTTTTGTCAATATTGAGTCAAGAAACAAGCTGTGTGAAAACATTGTACTATTATCTGCTTCACTGTCCTAGACAGGGAAATAAGCAGGAAGCAGAAATAGTTTGGCATCACCAAAATTAGCTGTGCTATCAAGAGAAAAAGATGACAGTGTGGCCGGTAGTCTTGACTGAATGTGAGGGTTTACCATGATGCTAACCTGTTTATCACTATGTGCCATAATTGTGTTTCTTGCCAATCTTCTACCAAATACCAGACATAAGCAGATAGATCCTAATTATCTAGCTTTGCCTGTAGATACTCATAAAATTTGTGTTGAATAGATGAAGTAGGAAGATACACAGAAGATCTTTATAGAATATTTAAATATCCTGACTTGGTCTTTTTCAAAAAGATTTATTTATTTACTTGAGAGGCAGAGTTACAGACAGAGGGAGAGACAGAGAGATCTTCTATCTGCTGATTCACTCCCCAAACGGCTGCAACAGCCAGAGCTGGGCTTATGTGAAGCCAGGAGCCAGGATATTCTTCTGGGAGTCCCACACAGGTACAGGAGCCCAAGCACTTGGGCCATTTTCTACTGCTTTCCCAGGCCATCAGCAGGGAGCTGGATTGGAAGTGGAGCAGCTGGGAATTGAACCAAAGCCCATATGGGATGTTGGCACCATAGGCAGATGCTTAGCCTACTATGCCACAGCACCAGCCCTGGCTTGGTTTTTAATTCTGTTAGTTTCAGATATCATACTAATTTTCTACAATTTATACATTGATTGACACATACTGCCCAGTTATCCTGCTTATTTTAATATTATCAATAATATCCATTTAGGTACAAAAATTTCAAGTTTCTGGTCAAGTTTAGGAGGTGCTGCTTTGGCAGCTGTCTTCAAATTCTGCAGATGTGATGGAAACCATAGTCCATGTAGAAATGAAGAAAGGTTATTGAGAGAAAAATGCCAGGTCCTTGAAATATCAGGGACACATTATTAGTTTTACCCGGGGCCCTTAGCTGAAATGATGTTAGATGCCGATTCCTAAACAGTCCTGGAAAGGAAACAGAAATGCCCAGATTGACTTAAATCCATCAAGATTCACCTCTTTGGGTTGAGGAGGAATCCAGCATGTCCCACTGCCTCAAGCTGCCAGACAGCTGAAGGAAATTAGGGTTGTTGGTAAGGATTGTGTTGGTGGCACACTGGCAGAAAGTTAAAATTACAGTGACTATTTTGTTTCCCTGTCACACATGGAAGTTCAGAGGTAGATCGCACAATGTAATAACATCATCCAAAGCAGTCTTCTCCTATTTTTCTGCTTAACCGTATTTAATACGGTGACTGTTATTGTCAGTGTAGCTGCCGAAACTCCAGCCATCTCTTTCTTGTCCCAGATAGGATAACAAAGAGGGTGAGCCCCTGTCTTTTTATAGACATCCTATAAGCCTAAGAAAATAGCCACCATATGTGTTACTGACCAAAACTTTGTCACATGGGAACTCACAGCTACAAAGAGGTTGAGAAATGTAGTTACATGCACTCAGCCCTCCACTCCCCTTCCTCAAGTGGGGTTTTTTTTACTGAGGAAGAAGAAAATGGATATTGTAGTCAACATGGACAAACTGTTTCAGGCAGCAACAATTAGAGGACAGCATTAGTGAAAACATCAAGGAGGACAATGGGGCACATGGGACGAAATGAGTTGTTTTTGTTTCTGACCATTCACCTTCCTCTGTTGCAAATAATTTTCTGCAGTGAAGCAGTCAGACAGCAGTGCAATAGGAAGGAGATGCAAAGGACATTATACATCAGCAAAGTCTGGAAGCTGTGTACAGATAATTAGGATTGTGTTTTGCACTGTATCATTTTTAGCTTTCTTGGAGTACTTTACATATGAAAGGACATTTTTTCCAAATATGGAAATTTGAAAGTCAAGGCATGAATTATCTTTCTAGCTTAACCATCTTAATTAGCAACAAGGTCACCTTTGGAAAAAGCAAAATATTACCTAGAAGAGTAAGCTTATTAAGCAAAGAATCAGGTCTTGTAGAAGTAGGGGAAAGAAGGAAATGAGGAGCTAATTAGCCTCAGTGAGCTGTGCAAAACTTATTGGTCAATTAGAGTCTGTGTGTCTGAATTCTCATTTGTAAGTGACATCTTTTTTGTTTATTTTTTAAAGGTAGCCAACCAAGTTGTGCAAGCTCTGCTCACTCAAAAGGTAGGCCACTTTCTGGTTTTATTCTTCTCAAAGTGCTTCTTTGAATGCAATGGAACTCATGAAGTCTAGGAAATTGTGATTGAACAGTGCATTGCTTTTCCATTTATTCATTTACTTTAAGACCATGTTTCAGATGGTTTATCAAGGCACATAGGTGACCAATAAAATTGTAAAATTCAAATTACTGGTAAAGTAGTGAAAACTTTTGAAGATGAAAGATATCCATGTTTCCAAATGAGTCCAAAAACATCATTTTTATTTCATAGATACAAACTTTAAGGTAGCAGATTTTTCCATTTTCTATAAAATGGATGTCCTTGTTTTTGGACAGTGCTCACAGAAGCCTCAAATTCAGCAAGAGAACTTGGAGGTTAGGGAAGTTGTATAATGTCTTCAGGCCTTTATTTCTCATGATGAGAAATAGGGATAACACCCTATACCTCCCAGGACACCTGATAATCCTGTGAAAGCAGGCATAAAGAGCAGTCCCTGGAAGAATCTATTTGTGGTAAATGGTCAACTAAATGTTGTACATGTAAGATCTGTGCCTATTGCTTTGCTACTATCCTGCCTTCAAGACAATGTAAGATCGTGTTATTGGGGAAGAGCCAATGAATGTGATCAGTGTTTGCCCGACTTTGGATGGTTTGCTGAATTTTATGAAATGTAGATTATCTCCCTCAGATTTGTTGATTCTGAGTTCTGTGTGAAATGGAACTTCTTCTCACAAAGGCTATCTTAGATCATGCAGCATGTTCAGGAAGATGTTTCTAATGAGAGCAAAACATTTGATATCACTGTAATTTTTTTTTAATTCTAAGCCATTGCTTGTAGTATTGATGAGGTTTCATGGAAATAATTAAATGTTATTTTCAAAATTTATACTCTACAGGCACTGTGATAATAGTTGTACTGGACTTTCTCCCTTTTCATGTGGCTTACTCAAATAATTTTAACTGCTTGAAGTTCTACCCTGATATCACATAAGATATTCAAATCCATTTACATAGAGTTAGTATTAGGTTCTGTTGTGTGGCACAGAAATCCAAAATAGTGGTGTCTTAAATAAGCTAAAATATCACTTCTTTTTCACATATAAATTTTCAGGAAGTCAATTCAGTGCTGATGCAGTAGCTCTACTACATAAAGTCCATGGGATCCCTGCTCTATTTTGTTTAAGATTTATTTTATTTATTTGAAAGACAGAGTTAGAGAAGGAGAGGAAAAGAGAGGGACAGAGACAGAGATAGAAAGAGAAGAGTGGCTCTTATTATTCCTTGGAGTACAACCTATATTTCCAAAGTCATTCTGTGGTCCAAACAGACAATTGTAACTCCAGTCATCACACTGAGGTTCCAACCAACCAAATCACAAAAAAAAAAAAAAAGCTAAATAATATGAAGAGAGGAAAGGAAAGGGCATATGTCCCATGTTTTAAAGATTACCAAAAAGTTTCATACAAAGTACTTCAAACAACTTATGAAAAAATATGGAATTAAACAATAAGTTTGTTCTGCTGCCAAAAAAAAAAAAATCCAAGGGCTGGTGTTGTGACCCAGCAGGTTAAACGACTACATGGAACTTCCACATCCCATGTCAGAGTGTCTGTTTCAAATCCCAGCTACTCTGCTTCCAGTCCAGCTAGGAGGTGCAGTGGAAGATGGCCCAAGTACTTGTGCTGCGGCCCATCCTATGGGAGACCTAGACTGCAGTTCCTGCTCCTGTCTTTGGTCGGGCCAGCCTTGGCTCCTGCAGTCACTGGGGAGTAAATCAGCAGATGGAAGATCTCTGGGTTTCTCCCTCTTTCGGTATCACTCTGCCATTCAAGTAAAATGAATAAATCTTTTCTTAAAATTTACAATGTATGCGTAGTTTGTCCATAGTACATGTCTTCCGTGAACCTTTTTTTTTTTTTTTAAGGCAGAGTTAGACAGTAAGAGGAGAGAGATAGAGAGAAAGGTCTTCCTTTTTTCGTTGGTTCACCCCCGCCAAGTGGCCTCTATGGCCGGAGCGTTGTGGCCAATCGGAAGCCAGGAGCCAGGTGCCTTCTCCTGGTCTCCCGTGTGGGTGCAGGGCCCAGGGACCTGTGCCATCCTCCACTGCACTCCCGGGCCACAGCAGACAGCTGGACTAGAAGAGGAGCAACCAGGACAGAATCCAGTGCCCCAACCAGACTAAAACCCGGGGTACCGGCACCACAGGCAGAGGATTAGCCAAGTGAGCCTCGGCGCCAGCCTTTCTGTGAACTTTCTAAAGACCCCTCATGTGACCTTACTTACCTGTCTCTGAGCAGACCTTAGCCACACAGCCATACCTGAGGGAGCTCACAGAGAAGTCTGTTCTGGGTGTTGGCCCAACAGAAAGTTGATAGTCATAGCACTGTGGAAGAAAGGAAGAAACAGATACCCAAGGGCAGCTCACAACCTCTGCTGCAACACACTGGGAACGCCTTTCCTTTTTCAAAGGCTGGAATCCCCCCACTGCTTTCCTCCTGTTGGAAACCCTATGCTCATTTAATTACATGCCTAAGGACAGCAGGAAGCACTGTTGCAGCTTGGTGTGCACCTTTTGAAAGATGTCTCATGCCTGTCTTTTTTAGTGGTGCCTCAGGGAAGAGACAAGGGAACCGTCAGTTACAGTAAAAAGGAAAACGTGACCCACAGAAAATAGCTACCAAATCCGAGTAATGACTGGTAAACAGATAAATCTACCTCAGTGCGGTTAAGCAGTAAGGCACCGAAAGCCGTGCCCGCTGTGAGGTATCAGACCTCAGGGATGCTGTGCAGCAGGAGGAGATGCCGGGGGCTCTCAGAAATCCCGAAAGAATCGTGCTCTGCGGAACCATGCACCTCCCAGTTTTTACAGGGACTATAAAATGGCTACAAAAAGGACGAAAATTTCTCTTTAATTAAGATCACAACATAGGAAATAAAATGTACTTCAAATGCAGATAAGAAAACTAATTTTAAAGCAGTGTTGCTGGTATGGAGTAAAAACTGCAATTTGGAGGCATGTATCCAAGTGTCTGTCTCTGCTTCTCAGTCTCTCTCTCTCTCTCTCTCTTTCTCTCTCTCTCTCTCTCTGGCACACACACACACAGAATGCTACAGCTTCAATTCTAGGGAAACCAGACATTTTGAAAACATGTCATTTGTTAGGACACAAAGGCAAATCTGCCATGGCTTCAGCTCTTCACTGGGCTACCAAGAAAGCAATTTTATGGCATTTTGTGCATAGGCCCAAATAAGTTTCCTGAGGTAACACACTCAAAAAATTAATTTCCATAAACTTGTCAGTTTCTGTTAACTGTCCATATTTTGTCATAGTCAAGTAATTCCATTTATCACACAAACCTGCAGATTCCCATAAGAGGGCAGACTCTACTCCTTTCAATCAATTGTGCTGAAGTGACAACATTAAACCCAGCTCACTGCCATTTATGTCTCTGAATCATAGGATCAAGTTTGCAAGTATAAATACAATCAATAATGCAGGCTAAACTCATAGGTTTGCCGGAAATATATATTACATAATAAAAGTATATAATACATTAAAAAAAAAACAAAAAAAAATATCTTTTATCTTCATTAAGACAATTACACTAGCTGAAAATGAGCTCTTAGGCTCCTTAATGCATTTTGCAGCTAACACCAAACTTGGAAGGAAAGCAGTGACCTGCAGTTACTTCTCCTCATATGACTGATGTCAGTCTTACCAACACATTCCTCAGAGTAGCCACATAATTATATTTTCTTCATTGACATGGAATAAGTCTAGTCTATGGTAGAAACCAGTAATACCCAGTGTTGTGGCTTGTGGCTGAAAGCACTCTGAAGTTGTACTTTCGAGATCATTGCAAACGTCGATGGAAAATGGAATTATGGTGCCAAAAGTATTGAAATCCATGCATACGAAACATCTTCAAACAAAAAGTTCATGGAAAATGTGGATTGTGAAAAAAACTGTACAAATTTCATAAATTTTTAAACCAAAACAAACATAACTTTCAATTTCATTTCCCACAAATATTTTAAAGGATCCTTGTATTTCTCTTATGGGAGGGGCACTTGACTGTGTTCACTTCTGTAATGGTCGTCTGTGCAGAATCTGCTTTTAACAAATACTCGATTGATAATATCGGTTTACATCTTGCTTCTAAGCAACTGTTACTAAGTTGACTTCAGCCTGGAGCACCAGTAGGGACTACATGGCAGTCTGTCCAACATCTTCAGCCCCAGGGCAGATGGAATTTACCAGGATTATGGTGTGGATCCCCAGCGAAATTATGTTTGAGGTCATTAAGCTAGACAGAGGCTGTGTAGATCAGTGCACATGTTGCTCAGTATGTTTTGCCCCTAGCTTTAACTTATAACTCCCATTGCCTCAGTTTCCATTGGTAGTGACAAGTACATTGCAAAGAAAATGGGTTTGGCTATTTTCTTGAACCCAAGGATCACTGTACTCTCTTATGTGAGATTAAATGCAGTAAGATCTTTGACCTAGTTTCTATATGGTACAGTTCTATGTCATGCCCCTTTCTTTATATGTGAAGACACAACTCTGTATTTTCGGGAAGTTCCTCCTCTGGAGGACTGAGGCACTCTAGTCATAGAGAAAAGAGAAAGGTTATGAGAGAGGACAGATGGTTCTGCCCAGGCCTTGAGGTATGACCCCAGACTGTGGCCTCCAACAGAGGACATACTTTGTTTCCAAAGCCTTCCTTGGAGAGGGTACTCCAGGTACTGCCTCTGTGACTGAGAGAGTCCCCATAGTTAGTTGCTCTTGTATTTACCCTGAGTGTGTCACACGGTCCTTTACATCAATGAGTTCCTGTGGCCAGGTCAGAGGAAGCAAAGGCAACTGCCTGCCATAGACCGCCCAGGTATCACAATAGCAGTTGAAGAGAGACTGGCTTTTCTTGCGTTCTTTCTGTCGGCCTGCTCTGGCTGTGTGTAGGTCTTTGCATATGGGCACACGCTTGTTAGTGACGACAGCTTCTTGGGCTAGCAACTGTCTGGCATCAGCTACCACGTAGTAAAAACATCAAAGACAACACAAGCAGCTCTTTCCTCACGTTTTCAGCTTGTTTCTTTTTGTCAATAATTATAAGACCAGTGTCAAGCTCCTAAAGCCTTCCTTTCCCCCCCCTCTGCCGTGTGCTCAGCTGCAAGAGTCCATAGTGATGAGTGGAGTATTCTCAGAGCCAATAAACTGTGTTTCCACTGAAGAAACCTTGATCATGTTTAAATAATAGAAAGGGTCATTGAGATGTGAGCACATGTATAAAAACTTTCTAGAGAGCGTATTTTTTTCTATTTTGGTTTTCAACCATCTGAAGAACTTTTTCAGGTTATTCACAGTTTTGTTCCTAAAAATTGTGGACACTGTTGCTTGCAGATCCTCATTTTCCTGCAAACCCACTCGTGCATGTTTTGTTTTCCATGTCTCCACCTACAAATCAAAATGGTTGTTTTCCTAGCCAACGGGTACTATTAATATTTATCTACCTCACAGTCAAGTTTTATTAATTGCTTAATTAGTAGTAGTGAAAACAATTAGTGTTTGGGAGCAGAGTGTTATATACATGCTAGGAACAAAAATTAGCATAAGGAAGGCACAGGCAGAGGTTGAATTCTAAATAGAGAAAGCAAATTTAGCCTTTTAATTTGAACAGTGAGTCGACAGCCACAATGGCATCGGCTAAATGGTGTGTGTGCCCAGAGGTGCAAAAGCACACTCTTCCTCCTGCCTTGCTGAATTTTGTACTCACATGCCTCATTCTGGACTTGGCTTTTTCCCTGCCCTAAATTTCTGGGCATTGATTGGTTCTAAATAGCCTCTGCCTAAGTTTTTACTGTTTAAAAAAAGGTAAGGAGAGTTTAAGCTGTGCAGTGAGCCATACCTTGGCCTGTTCCATATTCCATTTAAATATAGTTAAGGCTGAGCATTCTAATCCACAAATATGAAATCTGAAATGCCCTGAAGTGCTGCAGAATCTCAAGCTTTTTGAGTGCCGATATACTTAAAAAGGTTGGATTGTAGAGCATACTCAGCCAGTGAAGTCTGCGTAGGCCCATAAACATCTGGAAGACCTCCAAATCTGAAGCGCTTCTGTTCCCAAGTGTTTTGGAGGGTTCCTCAGACTGTGCTGGAAATCGTGATGCATGCTCGGGAAAAGCCACACAAACAAGACCTCTCTAGTTTCACAATGAGGTTCACATGAGGTTAACAGGCCCACTTGCCTGCTGCTTAGGGACTGGGAGTCAGAATTGTTGACTGCTAATCTCCTTTGCTTCTTGTACAGCCTTAAGGCAATCTTCCAGCTGCCCTGTATCAAGATACAGAAAATCTACAAGCTAGAAGTGTTGAGTACCTTAACCTGTCCTGGCCCCAGCAATCACTAGAGAACAGAATTCCTTATTAGTATCCCCTTTATCAAAATGTTTACAAAGGTCAATGAAATCCCTACTATATGTGTTGCTGTTCTGGGTGATGGAATCAAGAGAGTATAAGAGCATTGTGCTTGTGTGGTTGTTTATTGTGGTATCTTCCTGTGCTTGCCTGATGGAGAATGTGGAATCTAATGGACAAGGTAAGTCCAGAACACACAAGATAAAATCAGTCCACAGTAGTATGTGCTAAATGTCATAGAGAAGGCATTGAGAGCTTCAGGGTTCAACAAAGGGAGCAATCTTTGGGGAACACCATGGGAAGTATCAGAGAAGTAATGAAGTTTGAATTGCACTTTAAGGAGCCAAACTTAGACTGCAAGAAGGAGGTGGATGAGAGGGGAAAGTGATGCTGAAGAAGGCCTCAGTGTGACAGGAATGCATAGAGCTTGGGAGAACTCTAAGTAGATCAGTGTCTCTGCACAGTGAGAGCAAGAGATTTTTATTTATGTCAGGAAATAGTGAAAAAATGACATCTGAAACATAGAAAATAGCCAACTACTGAAGAACCTTGAATTTGAGCTTCGTTCTACTGGATCTTTATCAAACTCCATCAAAGAGAATATAATACTGCAAGAAACTTCATTGCAGGTCAATTTGGAAAGCAGTTCCTTGGTGGAATTCCATGTATCAGCTCTCCTCCTATGAGCTGGGAGAAAGGTCCCTCATGTTTGAATGATTCGAAAGAGCTACGCCAAAAGGTTGCCAAAGTGGCTGACTGTACTCCTTCCCCAGCACTGAGACAGAAACACCCTTAGAAAATATGGAAATGCACTCATTCAGGGGATGAGTGAGTTCCAAGGGGCCTTTTAAAAGCTGTGACTTCAGTTACTTCTCTGCCATTAAATGCATCACTGACTCTATTAGCTACAGCGCTAAGAGGCTCGACTCATTTCTACAAATGACAATGAAAGGATCCATCAAAACTGATAGTTTCTTTAGTTCATCAAATCTCTATTCACTGCAAAAACATTGTTGTTCTTGTGGTTTGTTCTTTATGATTGCTTTTATAAAGACAGTGAAGAGGCAAAATATATAGGCGGAAACTTAAATTGACTCTATATTGCTAAGATTTACCATCCTCAAAAATAGCATACTGCATTAATGCGTTTCTGATTTCAAGGTGTTTTTCTTCCTAAATTGTTCTTCCCTGCACATAATAATTCCATCAGACAAGGGTCTGTGGAAGAAAGCGTCATGTGTGATTTATTTCTGGGGGCTTTGAAGAATAAAAATACTATCTTTTGTTAATGTGTCTGAAATAGCATATAAATTAAGGTTGTAATATGCAAAGATACCTTTCTGCTATAGACGCTTTCTTTTCTTTCAATGTGTTTATCGTAGGATCTAAGGGAAGAATGTGTAAAGTTGAAAACAAGAGTGTTTGATTTAGAACAACAGAATCGAACCCTAAGTATTCTGTTCCAACAACGAGTCAGACCAACTTCTGATCTGCTCCTCCAGGTATGTGTTTATGTGGAAAACAATCTTTGCTGCTGAAATAGCATTGACAGAAGTTACTTAGGTTCAAAAGTTGCCAGCATCTCTGAGCAAGGCATATTGCATCAACATTCGCGATTCTTTCCCCTCTCAAGGGATGTCATTAAACTTGAACATGTCTTAAATTCTTGACTTTATAAAGCTATATGCAGATAAAGAAATGCACCAGCAGAGAATAAACAGGTAAAAGGTACAATCAGAAGGTGTCCTCCAGTTAACTAGGTGGAACCATGGAATAGATTTAGGATATAATTGATTGCACCGAGGGCCAGCATTAGTAACTGTGCATTCTGTGATAAACAAAGAAGAGTTTTATGTTACACCAAAGAACATTTCTTTGTTTCAAGCTCTCTGTAATCAAAAATACTACTGGGGTTTGCTTTGCTTCCTGTCTCTGTGCAGAATTGCTCTTCCCAATACAAGACTTCGATTCTTGGTATTTTTATAGGTTCTCATTGTCTAAATGCTCTTACTGAACTCTGTTTGTTGAGCTTGCCTTAACAACATGGAAAGAGGTAAAATGCTGAACTTACACTGGTTTTGCAGCTGCCTCTGACAAAGCCTGAGAGAATACATCCCTCTGCAGGGAGATGCACACCATGAGAGGGGGGGCTTGCTTCTGATTTTTCATTCCTGATAATGCACATATATTTGCTCAGCCACGCTCCCATGAGCTTTCTTCAGAGCCTTTCTGAGGCTGAGCTTTCAAAGGGTGCATTGAAGTTTCACAGGGGCAGTGTGCAATTTATGAAGGGTAACCCGCAGCTGCGTGGTCTAATTGGCCAAGAGGAAGATCTCCCTCCACCTGATGACCAGGACTACACTGTCCAGCCCTGAAATGACTTGCCACAACGGGCTACTTAAATTTTAAGAATCTACAATACATGAAAATTAAGTTCCTGTGTCCAACTAGCTACACTTCAAATGTTCAAAAGCTCCTTGTGGCAAGCAACTGCTGTTCTAGGCAGTACATGCTGAGTAGCCCATTGCTGTCATGTAGAAAGCTCTTCTGTGCGTAGGATTTGTCCAACTGGTTGACACTGTGTTGCTAATTTACTCTTTCAATTTTAGCATAAACATCTTAGGGCTCCTTGGAGAAATATGGGAAATTGTAATTTATTTCAGAGAAAAAAAGATGTTTTGTACAAAACATCAAGATGTAATTCTCCTCACCCCCCAGAATTAAAATAAAACAGCTCTCTGAATTACAAAATAGATCTCTATCTTAAATTAATTTCCTCTATGCTTTATCTGTTGGAGTATAATTCATAATTTATAACTCAAAAATTATGTGTAGAGGGAAAAGTCATTTATTTCTATTCTGTTTCTTGGTCTTGACCATAATAAATGTTTGACATAGGATATCTTGATTTTGTAAAAAGCTGTTTTGCTTGTGCAGTCTCATAAAGACAGCCATTATTATAATTAGTTTTAACAGCTGTTATGTGTTCATGATTCTTTTCTGTTTTGCCTTTTCTAACTTGAGGCTTTTTTTTTTTTTGGAACAGTATTAAAAATCTTCTGTCTCTGTTTATGAATGATGAGAGTTTATTTGCACAGTAAACGCGTGTACTGTGGAAATTTAAGCTTTTTCATTGGCTATCACAAGTTTCGTAAATCCATATCAAAATGGCAGGGAATGATGTGTATACTAGCGGTAGGATTCAGTGTTTATTCACTGAGTATTTCCAGCCAGCAAACTTCATGTTCTTGCCCAAAGAGGTATCAGTTTTTAGGAGCCATTCTAATATAAATGATATTTACAGAAAATAGGCTGTCAGTAGTTCTTTGGAGATGAACAATAGAAGACCTGCCTGCCTTCTCATGGCTTAGTGCCTACAGCCAAAAACAGAGTAAGTTGCTAGTTTCTCAGGTTGTCTGCTAATTATTTGATGCGCGACTATTTATTCTCTAGTGTCTTGGGGTTTAATTGAGAAATACCATGGGGTTAAAATAAAAGCAGTCTGAGTTTGATTTATGTCTATTTATGTCTGTTAATGCTTAGTAATCATTTGTTGAATGGAATGATGAATAAATAAAAGCATTCATTGTGCAAGTTGGGAAGTTATTTTGCACAAACCTAAGGGAACTTTATGTATACAACTCCTCTGAAGCTCTCCAGACGTCCATGGGTGCATGTGGGTCCAGTTTGGTCTGTTTGGGCATGTGGTATGAGTACAGCACAAATCTACCAGTGTTGCTGCCCATGCCGATTTCTAAATCATTTTCTAAACAAGGATACTTTGAAAAATTCATGGAAAACGGAATTATAAGATGTGTTTATTTTTCATGCAAAAATTTCATATGACAGGATCTTCACAAAGTTCATAAAAATGTATATTAGGAATAAGCCATGGATGGATTTCAAAATGTAATGTAATTTTATATGTATTGTGTAAACCAATGAACAATGATGCAAAAAAAACAAGTGTTTCCATGAAACAAAGTTGAGTCACTGAAACACAGTTTGCGATCAAATCAAATATAGGTGTCTGTGATGATTGTAAGGAGAGCAAGGATTATATTAAATATAGAGGGAATCTTCATGTGAACTGCTCTTCAAATGTACTGTGACACTCCCAATTTCTTAACAAAATGAAAAGAACCAACAGGTGGGTTGAATCGGGGATAGAATATCATTATGAACAGAGAAATGACACCTAATGCAACAGTCGAAGGCAAACCTGCATCATGCCCTGTGGAAAGAAAGCATTTCTGCTTGGCTGGAGTAAGAGTTTATGTTGGGAACAAAAGAAAAAGGAGGCCTTGAGGGTAAAGCAAGTCTTTCGAGGGCCTTAGATGCATCGTTAAGAGGGAAAATCACAACTTGCCACAAACCCTGGAGATTCTTTCTCATCTTTGGCGTAGTTTTGACTTGATCCCAAAACAACCTCCTGTTACATCTCATCATCAAAAGTCCTGCCCTGCAGGAGTTGTGTGATCTTTCAAAGTGACCCTTATCTCGTGCAGAGACCACTTTCTGCACCTCTGACAGGTTAATATCCTCCCAGAGCTCATGAAGGAGACGGAATCCCTGCTGCACATCTTCCATGTGTTTTCACAGCTGCCCAAAGCCTGTAAGGAAGCCACCAAGGTCCTCCGATGATGCAGCCTGGCCGAGTCACCGCTGGGGGTGGCTCTAGCATTGGAACCTGGTGTTTCTCAGCAACACAGAGGCCACTCCTGTCACTATGGGGGGGTCTTCTAAATTAACTATCAGATCTGCAGTGCAGGGCTACAGTGGCCTCCTTCACTGGCACATAGAAACCCAGGCACAGAGAAAATCAGTTCCAGAAACTCATACGGCAAACTGACAGGATAGCTAGTGGCGTGGGAAGCCAGGTGGATGCTCTAAACATGCGTGGGTTTTCTTACCTCTTTCTTGACTTGTGGATCAAGCTGAGGCAGGAAACTCAAAATTGCCTCTAATGGATCAGAATTTACAACTTCTGTTGGACCACTTTGCTATCCGGCACCTTTCCCTTCACTTGTCTGTCCCTGTCTATTTCTCTCACTGTGTAATTCTAATGCCTTCTTAATGATTTATTCTTGTTGTTAGCTTTTCATCTTAGTTTGACTCCATATATATATATATATATTTTTTTTTTTTTTTGTGACAGGCAGAGTGGACAGTGAGAGAGAGAGAGAGAGAGAGAGAAAGGTCTTCCTTTTGCCGTTGGTTCACCCTCCAATGGCCGCCGCGGCTGGCGCGCTGCGGCCGGCGCACCGCGTTGATCCGATGGCAGGAGCCAGGAGCCAGGTGCTTTTCCTGGTCTCCCATGGGGTGCAGGGCCCAAGCACCTGGGCCATCCTCCACTGCACTCCCTGGCCACAGCAGAGGGCTGGCCTGGAAGAGGGGCAACCGGGACAGAATCCGGCGCCCTGACCGGGACTAGAACCCGGTGTGCCGGTGCTGCTAGGCCGAGGATTAGCCTAGTGAGCCGCGGCGCCGGCCTCCATATATTTGAAAGTATCTAAAAGTCTAATACAGAGACCTTCTAGAAAGCAATAACCCATGCATTTAAAGATGATTCTTAAGGGACAAGTATTGGGCCTACTGTTTAAGGTGCCAGTTTGGATGCATATGTCCTTCATCACAATTCCTGTTTGATACCTTACTCCAGCTCCAAACCTCAATTTCCTATCAATGCAGACCCTTGAAGATAAAGATGATGGCTCTAATTATGGGATTACAGCTCCCCATGTGAAACACAGGGATTTAGTCCCAGGCTCCTGATTTTGGTCCTGGCTCAACTCCAGCCATTGTGCACATTTGAGGAGTGAACCAGCAAATGGGAGCAACCCCCATCTTGTCTTTCTCTCTCTCTGAAAATAGCAAAATTTTAGTAAATCAATATGTGTGATATGGCCGACATTTTTCAATTTCTCTGAATGGCCAAACATCCCAGAGAAGATGCCTCCATACCGTCGCTCACCTGACTGGTCAGTTCTGTGACTGTATTTAAGATGCAATGGCAAATTCTTTTTTTAAAAAAAGATTTATTTATTTATTTGACAGAGCCACAGAGAGAGGGAAAGACAGAGAGAAAGGTTTTCCATCTGCTGGTTCAGTTCCCAAATGGCCACAATAGCCAGAGCTGTGCCTATCCAAAGTCAGGATCTTCTTCTAGGTCTCCCACGTAGGTGCAGGGGCCCAAGCACTTGGACCATCTTCCACTGCTTTCCCAGGCCATAAGCAGAGAGCTGGATCAGAAGAGAAGCAGTCAGGACCCAAACCAGTGCTGGCTTAGCTTACTATACCACAGAGCCGAACCCTGCAATGGCAAAAATCTAAGGTAGCAAAGAGGATAAATGCCTAAATTTTTCAGAAACAGATATTTTTTTAAATATGAATTGAGCATATAGGTACTGTGTATTGATAGAAAGATAGAAATGGACAGAAGAAGGCATGGTCTTCTCTTAAAGATGATTACAACCTTTCTGGGGTTAGAACACACCAAACA